ATGAACGTGGAAAATTTCGAACGATTTTCTATGGGACACTATTGAATCTAGATATTGGGTCCAAACACGCAAACGGTTTTGAACGATGTTCTTTATGAACGTCGAAATCTTTTGGAATTTCGTTGTTATCCATGTTTTCGAATGGTAGACGCTTCAAAATCCTAGTTAATCCCTAACTGCACTTGAGGCTATGCTTTAAACTAGGCGATTTAAGGAGAAGACTAATTTTACCAAAATTAGAATGTGGCTTGGTCTTCCATCAACTGTCAATATAATAGCGTTGTTTTTTTGGAAAAACAATTAAAAATTAGTGACCTTCTAAAATATGTAATGACAAATCATTTGACTAAGTATTTTTGTGTTGATTTAATCATGTTATGTTTTTTTTTGTAATGACTAAGTATGTTTTTTTGTAATGAAAATCATTTGACTTATCTTTGTAATGACAATCACTTGACCAAAGTATTTTTGTGGTGTTTGTTGATTAAGCCGTCTACTAACAGTCAAATATCTGGTTCGTAATTATTAAATGTATTTACCAATCTAACCTCGCATCATTTCTCTATGATCGAAAGTTAACCAAAGTCCAGAGAGGGATAGTTATGTAATTTCCATATTTACCCTTCCTTTTGTGTCCGTCCTCAATCGCCGACCATCGATCTTACGACACTCCCGCGGATTCTCCGGCTTCGAAAAATCCGCCGCCGTAAAAAAAAAATCGATTTAAGAGCGAAGCAGAGATCGAATGGAAGATGCAGCAGCTCCAAATTCTGGGTCCGATTTAAACCTCGGAGGAAAACGCGGTAGATCTATCGAAGAATGCCAGGACATGATTCAGAGAAGTGTCCGAAGTAAAAAGCATTTCTTTTTTCAATCTTCCCTTTAATCCGTTGGTTTCTGTTTGATTAGCGCCTCTGTATTTTGAGAAATTCATTACAAAAGTTTGGGAATTTACGAGCAATCTGATAGAATATCGGAGTATATTCTGTTAATATTGTTTTGTATCCCAGATATTGTGGAACAACTATGTATAACGTTTCTGACTATTTATAGTCTTGTATATTGATGAATCCTCAAGGGGAATTAATCTACTTCCACAATCTAGGGTTTAGGGTTTTGGAATCATACGAAAGAGTTTAGGGTTCTAAAGTCAC